AAACTCAGACCTAAAGCAAGTGAGCGAGTGACTTTGTGTTACGTATTGGTGGTACGGAACTACAGGGGATTTGGGTCCTATAAAAAACAGCTGATAATACAGGTACAAAGATTGTTATTAGTGAATGATATTTATATTGATGAATGTTCCTCATAACAACCAACACTGTCTTATTTCACTCTGGCAAGATACGATACTAAAAGCACATACATTTCCTAATCACCCCAGAGGTTCAAGATGGTATACTGTACTCTGCTTAAATAAAAATATATGACTGACGATAAAAGTACATACGAAAAACAAGAATAATTCACAATTACTTAAAAAAGCAAAACAATACCACGACCACCCAACAGATATACAATAACACCTTTCTCCTTGTAGTAAAATTAGTAGAAAAACTACTACGAAACAATCACACACCACTTACTCGGTAGAATTAATGACAGTCATGTGGCCGCAAATATAGCGATATAAGTGGCTACGAAAAAGTTACGATGGTATTTACTTAGGCAGCAAGTCAAGATGATGTCGCATCAATGAGGACAACTGCATGAGCTGTTCAATGGTCTGGAGACAGTCAAACGTCCTTTAACATTACGAAATGCAAGACCCTACAAATAGGATACAACAACCCCAATCACAACTATTCTGTTAATGACAACTTCCTGGATACTGTCGATAAGTTAAAATCTGTAGGCGTTGTGACAGATCAATCAATCACTTGAAGGCGACGCAACGAGTGGGGGGGATGCCCCAGCAGTAATAATAATAATAATAAAAAAAATATATTTGGGAATTATAAAGCGTACCTTTGAATACAATGATAAGAAAATGCTTCTTATTGTATGGATTTTTGTATTCAGGCATGGAAACCCTACCTCCAGAAAGATCTAACACCCATAGAAAAGGTGCAACCAAGATGATTCTTTAACTATGCCATCTCGATTATCCAAGTAAACTAAGGGCCTCAAGACGAACAACTATTCAGAAAAAAGCCCAATAGAACAGATCTCATTAAAACAATTAAAATCTTGAAAGGGACAACACGAAGGGACAACTTCAAGCTCACCAAGCTATCATGCAGAACGAACACAAGGAAATACTTCTTCACATAGAGTGACAGAGAGTGATAGATCTATGGGACGTTCTCCCAGCTCAAGCCGTGGAATCGAGAACAGTACTGGGCTTCAAAATAGCCCTAGACAAAATTAACAAGATCAATGGAGGGATCCTACACAGGCCACTGGTCTTCCCTTGACTTGGCCACCTGGCCGTTAGGTAAAGAAGAGGCACACAATAAACTACCCCATATTAAGGACAGCCACGGGTCTTACAGGACACGACAGAGCACGGCACCTCCAGATATCTTGAATTACGAATACAACAGCCGAGGACACCTGACTATGTTAATCATTTACTGCTGTTCATTTTACACTTGGAGCACCACTACTACAATTATATGTTAATATTACTTAAGCAATATAAAACAAAATCTGTCCTGAAAGGTATATTACCTTTTTTTATTGGAGATGAAAGATATTTTTTCAGTTACGAGAAACTTCACCTCCTTGAGCGTCAGTCTGAGATTTTTACAAGTCACTGTTCTTCTTCAACTATAAGTCTCTTGGTGATAATTTATCCTCTGTTATGTGCTCTATTCAAAATGTTCCAAGTTTTTACAAACTGGAGTCGAGTACAAGAGATTTTGTTTTGTTTTTTCTGAGCGAGAAAACACACATAATATTAACGTTTATGACGTCATCAGCCAGGCTTGCTCTCATTGGTCGGAAGTTCTTGTCGAAAAAATTTGAATTTGGTTCATTATTGGAAATATTAATTAATCTTTAAAGCTTTAAAATCAGGTTATTACGGAAAATATGCACCTGTGCCCGGATAGGCTATTTACCGCAAAACCCAAACCCAAACTGGCAACTACATGTTGGTTATGTCCATGTTTCATAAGATCAGGAATAATTGTTTAATATTCTGTATGTACTGTATATGCCTTCACTGACTTACTCTTTATAATAGCTCATCTTCTATTCTTTCTTAATTATGATTCATAAAAACTACAAGCATAGCAACTATTCAAAAGTTATGGAACGAATAGTTACATATTTTTTTTTGTACGAATTAAAGAGTTAAATCAAAATTCCTAAGTACCGACATAACACAGTGAGGATGTTTCTATATAAATGAATTTAAAACTAATACTCTCTACGATAAACAAATTTGTTATATTCAAGCAATAAAAATAAATGATAATTCAACTAGGAATGTATCAGATCTTTCAGCTGTTTTTAATTTTGATTACAAACTAAAACAATAGTCGTGATTCATGTCGATAAGTTATCAATAAATTAAAAAACAAGACAAAAGAGATTATTAATAACAAAATCATTGAATAAGTTGAATACACTTAACTGTATAGTTCTTATTTTCCGTAATAATCTGATATTAAGCTGTACAGAATAATTAATATCTCCAATAATGAACCAACTTATAAGTTTTCGACAAGAACTTGTGACCAATGAGAATAGGCGAGGCTGATGACGTCAAGAACTTGTGACCAATGGTAATAGGCGAGGCTGATGACGTCGACGTCATAGTGTGTGTGTGTGTGGGTGTTTCTCGATTAGAAAAAAGATACAATCTCGTGTACTTGAACCATTACAAAAAACAAAAAAATTAATATTTTAAGCCGTTGACATTAATGAAGATAAGTTGTCACCGAACGACTTAATTGTTGAAGATTTTAGTAAAAAGGAGAAAATTTCCTTTTGAACTTCTCTGACTGACACTTCACAAGGTGTTGTTTCTCAACGCTGAAACAACTCCCATCATCTATAAAATATACACAAGGTAAGATACGTTTTAGGGAAAGAACTTTATATGGTATAATAAACTAGGACTAATAATGGTGATAATAGGGTATTTATGATCGAACAGTAGTTGGGGCTGAAACTGAAAATTTACCGATAATATAATAGTTCTTTCTTGGGAGAATCAGGTTGTTTCCCATATTGAAATTCAATTTTTTAAGGTAACGCGATATTAAAAGTTGGTATAAATCGAATGGCGGTGTTGACTGAATAATTACCGTATTTAGTTATAGATAAATGCAGTATTAGAGTTCAGGTGGAAAATGAAAGGAATTATCAGCAGTAAGAGGTTAACGTAGGTGACGCCGCCTACACCTGTCCTCCCCTGCCTCCACCTGTCCTCCCCGCCTTCACCTGTCCTCTCTCTCTCCCATTTGTCCTCCCTCCTCCTCACTCTCTCCCCTTCCCCTCCCTCTTCTTTCATCCTTCCCTCCCTAACACTTCCCATAACAACTGTGCATGTTCAACAGTGATGTAACAATGACATGAAAATCTACTTCACTCATGCATAAGAAAACAAATTGACGCAGAATTCACACGATGATGGGAGGGGAGGGGAAGGGAGGGGGGAGGGGAGGGGGGAAGGGGGGAAGGGAAGGGGAAGGGAGGGAAGGGAGAGGTGTGATATCTTGCCACACCATAAACAAACAGTCGACTTATTCAACTTCTTAGATGGAAAATTCACCAAACTCAACACTTTAAACCTACTATTTTTCCCAATTTCTTCCTTGAGTACATATTTTTCCAGGGATGAAAACACACAATTCGCCTCGCAAATAACTCAGTCTCAACCTATTCCAACTTCATTGAACACAAGAGATGAAACTTACCTTCAGATTTACTAATAGAAACTAGAACATTTTCCCCAATGTCTAGAACAATGATAAAGAGTTCTATATAATTTCTGATCGTTGTGGACAAGTGTAATTACCAACATCATTACGTGTTTTAAAGACTTCAGCTGTATGTCTACACTGTCTACAGTATGTATATTGTTTGTACAGTACGTGCTGAATCATTGTGAACATGTAATACGATTTTACTAAATATCTATCTGAACAACGATGTATGTATGTATGTATCCAGGCACTCTAGCTTAACTCTCAGCTCACAGCGTAAGGAACGTTTGCTGCCTCACCGACTCAAACACGAGACGTTTTTCTTCACTCTGGGGACACGAGATGAGATCATTTACCCTATCGAGGCCCGCAAAGTGAGGAACATTTTCCCACCTAATGTGTGTAAACTTTCTCACACTTTCTCACCTTAAACAACAGAGTGAGAGAGACGGTGTGTGTGTGTGTGTGTGTGTGTGTGTGTGTAAACTTAACAATAATAAAATAAAGTACCACGTCAGATAATTACGTCAAGAATCAAACAGAAGTTAAATTTCAAGAGACAAATGAGATTCAATGAGCGAAAAACTAATTAAAAACTAAAATGTAAAGTTTCACGAATTGTCATAAAAAATAAAGAGATGATTGATAATAACTAGAGATCCATGAAATTAGATCCAATCAGAGTAGACAGATTGAATTATGAACAGCGACCGACAACATTTTTAGGGGACCTTAAATCTAGCGATTAAAGTTATCTTAAACTGAGTGATGGCAACCCTACCATACAGTCAGGGCCGGTGCTAGGAATTGCGGGGCCCAATTAGAAAATTGATAGTGGGGCCCTCTACTCTACAAAGTCGAAGATTGATGTTTTATATTTCGTGTAGTATGCCCGCCTTAGCCAAAAAGCATTAATTACTTGATATACTAAAAGTTTAAAAACAGTATAAAAGTTTTGATTTTTTATTACAAGTTAAGACAATTACAGACAAACTGTTTATGCACGGACCTTTTAGAAACACACTTTTCTGGCTTTTTTATTTGCAAAATCTTTCAAAATCATTTTAAAGTCAAGGGTTTTGGTAATGTCACTTTCTATAGATAGCATCGCCAAATTGTTTAGTCTTTCTTGTGAAATTGTTGACCGTAAGTATGTTTTAATCAGTTTTAGTTTAGAAAAACTTCTCTCACCCGATGCGACTGTTACGGGCATTGTTAAGTAAATTCTCAAAGCAACAAAAACATTAGGAAATGCAGTGAATCGATTGTTTACTACCAGGTATTCAAACAGGGCTTGGGGCTTGGCGACACTGGTGGGCAGAAAAGTTTTCAGAGCTTCAAGTTCTTCAGCCAACAGATAACCATCTACATCTTTACTTGTTACAGTACCTACCTCTACATCAGTGTTCTGTTTTAGTTTGGTGTCAATTAAAGCTGCTTCAAGGTCTACTGTGTGTTTCCTTATTTCTGCCTTTTGTAAGCCCTGAAAGTTATTTAAAAATCCAAATAATTTTATATGGCTTTTAAGCTGCATAAATCTAGATTCTAGAGATTGAATAGCTTTGTCTAGCACTAAGGTAAAGCACTGAACTCTATATGCTTCTTTTGGATCATCAAAAGCTTGATCTTTTGCCTCATATGAAAACATTCTCTTCCTTCTTTGTAGTCGTTTATCTTGAAATTTCCTAAATTCTAGTGGTAATTCAACAGCTTCAGCCAAATCATTTGCGCCTATTAGGACATCATTAAAACCACTCTCTCTATATTTTCTTAGCCATGATAATAGTTTTTCAAATGACTCCATGCCTTCATCAATGTCCTTTGTTTTACCTTGTAGTTCCTTGCTAACATAGTTAACTTTAAAAAGTAAATCATGCCAAAATATCAAAGAAACTAAAAATTTATAGTCTTTTAGCTGGTTTGCTAAACCTTCTGTCTCTGCTTTTACCTTGGGCTCATCTGTTATCTCTGATGTTTCCACAAGTGCATCATATACTTCTCCAACCTGATAACGAATAGCTTTAACACTATCAATCCGACACTCCCACCTTGTGTCGCTCAAGGGTTTCACTGATAACCCAGGTACATGTTTCTTAAAAACTGCCCACCTCTTTGTTGATGCTGAGAACATTATGTAGATCCTTTGCAAGATCCCAAAAAATGTTATAGCATCTGGACAGCACTTGGCTACATCTCCTAGTAACAGGTTATAATTGTGACATGCGCAGGGTACAAAGAAGGCTCTTGGATTATCCTGCAACAGCCGTGCTTGTACTCCCGATGTGTGACCTTTCATATTGCTACCGTTGTCATAACCTTGGCCTCGAATGTCTTTCACATCCAATTTTAATTCCTCTAGTGTGTTTAATAATGTTTTATATAAATTTTCTCCTGTGCTACTTTCAACCTGCATAAACTGTATGAAATGTTCATAAACACCTGAAGGAGCCAAGTTGCCATCAGAAACATACCTGATCGTTAGAGACATTTGCTCCTGGTGGCTCAAGTCAGGTGTGCAGTCTAAAATTATGGCATAGTACTAAGCTGCTTTTACGCGATTCAGTATCTCATTCAAAACAGCTGTAGCCATAATGTCTAGTAGTTCATTCTGAGTATCTTTTCCTAAATAGTGATTATGAATTTCGTTGGCCTTGACTTTACGTAAATGTTCTTCAAGAACAGAGTCAAACTTTGCAAACAGCTCCACTAAACCTAAAAAGTTTCCATTGTGTACACTCTCATTACCAACTTTTTCTTCTGTCCCTCTTAACGCTAGATTTCTCTCAGCAAGAAACTGCACTATTGCCACTAGCCTTTTGAATACTTGCTGCCAGTACTTTGCATGTTTATTAATAGTTAGTTCACGTTCTTTGTCAATTGTCTGTCCACTATAATGTCTTTGGTATAACTCCCAGAATTGCCATGTGGCTTCCAAATGGTTTTTAGAATTTTCATGCTCATACAACCTTGTAAGAAGATTAGACCAGTTGTTGAATCCACTTGCTGATAATGCACTGGTTTTGTTCATACTAAAAAGCTTACAATAAAAGCAATAAATTCTATCAGCAGACTGAGAATAAATAATCCAAGGTCTATCAACATACTCCCCATTTGGAAGTTTTCTCTTACAGTGAAACTTAGAAAAACACAATCCCTTTTCATTTCGTGGAAACTTGTTCACTGGAATATCAGGAGGCCCTTTCATTGTTAAATAATCTCTTATATTTCTATTTATATTCGATGGCCAACTTGCCGGGTCATCATTAATGTTAATTACAACTGTACTTGTGGATGATCCATCACTGTTTGATGTTTGGGCTTGGCCTTCTGACTCTTCTTTAGCTATAAGTGGACTTCTCACTTTGGCACTGTCTTCTGTTGTATTAAGATCGTCTTCAGTTTGATTCAACTGTGTCTGTGTGTCAACTTGAACTTTTTCAAACTGAATATCAATTTCTTCATTGTATTCATCAACTGTAATTGGACTAATGGCTGTATTGTCATTTTCTGAATCGTTTTTGTCTTCTTCATCTTCAATACATGGGCGTTTCAAAGGTGGAGTGACAAGAAATTTTTTGATAGCACCTCGATGTTTTTCATTTTCAAGCACCTTTGCCTTTGCCAGTGCTCGCTTCTGGTTGCCATTTAAATACTTACGCCCTCTGCCTCTATCTCTGCTTGTGCTTGCCATGATGAAAGGGCTTTTTATATTATCTTTTCAGAAATGACATATAATAAACTGAAATGAAAAAACGAACAAAATTATTCACAATGAGAAGTCCCTGGCACTTAAAAAATAAGTATGTGCATATATGAATGCTATAATTAAAACAAAAAATCGAAACACTGATCCTATAAAATAAAAACCACACAATGTTTATCACCACTTCACCGGACAAAAAAAGCTTTAACCGGACATATAACACTTTGGCATGGATAGCACACCGCTACGTACGCAAAGATTCGGTTACCTACATAGAGCTATAGTATGTGCTTGCATGTGCTCAGAATCACAAGTCATTTTCTGATTCATCATCGCTATTGTCGCTATCAATCATGTACTCAGGATCAACAATTATCATCACTGTCCAGCACAAAAATTATAAACAAACCACGCCTCGGTCGCCACCCAGTGGCCATGCTTCTCATTTTCAAGGTCAACACTGCAAAACTCATCTCAAATCATGTCTATGGCAACGACCGGAGTTTTGTCACTGTCTGACGATGATCACTGATTCACTGGTTATTACAGGACATGCTGATATACACAGCACAACGTTATCACTCGTATTTCCCCCTGAAAACAGCCAAAAATACAGACCCGACACACTTACACCGTCCAAGCGTTGGGAGAGAGTGAAAACTGTGTTCTGATTGGCTCGCACCCTTCCCGCTCCTGATAATTATTATGAAAGTCAGGGCGTGTGGACCAACACCAGAGTTAATTCCCTTGGACTTTTGACAAAACAGAAAATTCTCGCACGTGACTGGGATCTATTATTTTGATGACAATAACAATGATTTTGTGTCTAACGTTTGCTTTTTTACCAATATCGTATACAGTTTAAAACTAACACACGTGTGTGCGGGGCCCCCTTGCGGCGCGGGGCCCAATTTGATTAAATTGGTCAAATAGGCTTAAAACCGGCCCTGCATACAGTACATCATACGAGTAACAATACATACATACACAACAAGACAAAGACATCATACACAGGAGCGGCCTCGTTATACACCATACACAACACTGTATACTCGTACTATACTGTACACTGGTGTATAAAGAAAATGTTGTTGACTCTTTTAGTTTATAAAATAGAAATAAACAACTTGAGATAAATAAAACTGTGACCCGTTTTCACAGCCATACCTCGCTCACCGGGCCAGACACTATACCTACGGCCAAACTTAACTTAACCTAACCTAACCTAACCTAACTTAACCTAACTTAACCTAACAATCAAGTGGTGATATTTATAAACTACATTCCCGATGAACTTCAAAATAAATCGTAACTTAATTATTTTGGGTGTAAGAAATAACCAAAAACAATTTACGGACAAAACGTTGATGTATTGAAGTAAAAGTTCGTAATTATGGGGGAAATTGTCCTATATATAAAGGTAAGATTTAGTAATGAGTAAAGATCCTATGCACGAATATGTAAAACCTGAAATATTAATTAGAAAAAGATTTGACTCAATGTGACTCCTAAGTACGTAGAGAAATAAGTGTAAGAGAATGAGTAGAACAAAATAACAATACGGGGGGGGTGTTAACTTATAAGGGATAAATGACCAACACGATAAAGACACAACTAACATGTAATACACAGAATAGGAGGGAGGTGTACATGGTTTATGACAAGAAGCTTCACTACCTCTGCTGTTTACCTACCTACACACACACACACACACACACACACACACACACTCCGGCACCATATGAAATTTTCGTTTTTAAATACATAACATAACTGTCCACCTGTATCATCATTACCTGGGCGAAACAATTTGGTGGTCTGGCCAAAGGAATTAAGAATAATGGAACATGCATTACAATCCTCGAAGATAAAATTACTTCGTTAGTAATTACGTTACCTGGTGGTGTTAACGACCAATTGACACGCAAACGTAATTAACAGGATAACAAGGCGGGAACATGTTCTACTCTGGTTTATTTTCAGATTACTGTTGATATGTGTAGTGAAGTGGGAGGATCTTACAGTAAGGTGAAGATTGTTAGTCCTCCTTATTACGCGCACACACACACACACACACACACTTGATGTTACGTAACTATTTTGTTAATTATTTCTCAATAGTTTATACATATTTAACAACATAAGGGGAACTATCGTACAAAGATATATTACTGGTGTTTAATTCAGAAGTTTCCAAGAGTTATGTCAGATCATGAGAGAGAGAGAGAGAGAGAGAGAGAGAGAGAGAGACGTGTATCTAACTCCGTTTTACCTCAGAGAGAGAGTCTGTCTGTGTCACGTGATGGTAAACATGTTATATAAGGTTAGGAAAGCTGAAATACTTATTAATGTGATATGTGATAAATAACATTGATTAATCAGCTATGTTATTCAGAAACACATAAATAATGTGTAGCGATAAACATATACAAAAACTATATATTTTCTTTTATTGGTGATATGTCGTTATATAGACAATGTGATCGTTTAATATGTCGTAATATAACACTGTAATCGTTTAATATGTCGTAATATAACACTGTAATCGTTTAATATGTCGTAATATAACACTGTAATCGTTTAATATGTCGTAATATAACCACAGTGTAATAGTTTAAAATTTATGAAAACTTAATACCTTAATTCAGCCAAATGCCATAAGAGAGACGAGACCTGTCAGACAATAAGCCTGATTGAATAATTTCCTCAGTAACATACAAGTGAACCAAACTTGGGTACTACACAACTACAGTATCACTCAATGACTTATTTTACACTATATCTACTACCACTTAACATTTCTATATCAGTTCAACAACCATCACTCAACCTTGTTCCATTTTATTTAAAGTTCGTTAATCAATAAGAGGAATTATTATCACAACACAAGCATTCATTAATCAGTCTCCATTGTGAATCATTTTGCTGGGGTGTGTGGGAGGATTACGCTGGATAATAACTTTAGTGTTTTGTATATCCAGAAGAATCTTAACTCCAGCTTACTCCAACTAATAACTAACCTAATCTAACACAACCTAACCTAATCTAATCTAACCTAACCTGAAAAATCTCCACGACAACTTACTCCAACTAATAACTAACCAAACATAAGCTAACATAATTACAGACACACACACACACACACACACACACACACACACTGTTACGCCGTCTCTTAATTTACTTAAATATCCAGGTTCTAGGCGTAACCAAACAAAAAAAAGTGAAGTAAATTAAAAGGGAATAAAAATTAATAAAGTAAACCTTTAAGAATTTATAATTAATTAAATATTTACACAATAAAGAGCCTCGTAGGCTATCACATCAAATTGATTCACCATCGAAACTTTTAAGACACAAATGATACGAAACATCGAAACATCAAAAGAACAATAATAAAGCATTGGATTACGTTAACACTGCATAAACATATAAAATCTAACACCGAAATTACCTAAAGTGAAACAACACTGAATTACTTAAATGTAACTAAGCAAATACTGATGGACATAAATAGAGACATAAATAGGTACTCACATAGATATACCACATTGGTGGCGACAGGAACAACACAAATAAATTAAGTATAAGTAACAGGTGACGAGTGTCACTCAAAGGATGTGGACTGTATGACAAGAGGACTGAACTAACTCAGTCAGTTGGTGGGTCCTATATATAAGGTCGGCTCCCGCCACGCGACCCGCCGGTGGGTCGTTTAACGATGCAGATGGTCGTTAGAGAACAAAGAATACTGGTTACAATACAAAATGGGTTTGAACAGATAATAACAGTTAAAACCTTAACAGCACAGGGTTAAGGTGACTAGATTATATAATAGTAAATACAACACATCATTACAGGTATAATATGGAACATGGAAGCATGTTATATAAAAAAGAAAAGAAAAATACGACACGGTCGTAACAACACACACACATAAACCATAAATATGTTATATGGAACATAAATATAACTTCCAAAATCACTCTCATATACTTCCTAACCGCGGCCTGACGAAATAGTACACCTGTAACGTTCTGTCAGGGCTCAGGTCGAGGCTCCTCCTTACTGATCATCTATACGTGTGTGTGAGTGTGAGATGTTTCCTAGTATGTAATAAAAAGGCGGGGATCCGCTTTTGAATTTTGCCACATACAGCGGCTAGTTTATTGTGCACCCATATTCATCCCGTGAACGGTAGCGTAGGCAGATTATAGTTAAACAGTAGAAGTCAGAATATTATGGCACTGAATGTTAAAAACAATGTATTTCCAAAAAATTATTTGTTTAGTTCTGTAGAGTACATCGCCCTCTCCCTCAACCTGCCATTATTCAATAAATTATTTGTTCCCTCGTTCTAACAAGAGATACACGATAACATATCCTATTTGAAGATAAAAATACACTGTCCAGGAAGAGTCATAACAAACTTGGGGGTTATCTGAGAGAGAGAGAGAGAGAGATGTAGATTGAGAGAAAGATATTATTGAGAGAGTAGACGAGGGAAATAGACTGGAGAGAGAGAGAGAGAGAGAGAGAGAGAGAGAGAGAGAGAGAGAGAGAGAGAGAGAGATGTGAATTAGTGTTTACTCCCACTCTTAAGTATAGTATTAGTCAACTTATATTATACAGGGTCTCCAGTCCACATTAAAATGAAAACAACTTTGTAAAACCTTATAAACTTTTGATTGAATGATAACAGATTAATATCCACACACACACATTATAGTCAGTCTCTTCGAGTTTCATTTGGTGTATGGGTATATATCGTTTGGGTATAAGGAATAAGGCATCATTCGGGAGAGGTCAGGTCAGGTCAAAGTAAAGGTAAGGTCAGGATAGGTGATCTCAGTGGCCAGGAAACGTGAATTTTTAGTTGGGATGAATATTTATTTTTTTTTGGGGGGGGGAGGGGAGGGGAGAAACGAGTATGATTTTATATGATGGTGATGAAGGAAGGAATAGAGGGAGAGATGGAGAGGAATTATGAAGGAGGGAAGGTTGAAGGAAAGACGAGAATAGGAAAAGGAAGGGAGGAAGGAGACAGGGAAAATTGAAAAACTGATAAAGATGATGGAAGGGTGAAAATAAAGAGGATGGCGAGGAAACAAAGAAGGATAGAGGGAAGGAAAGAAAGAAGGATAGAGAGAAGGAAAGAAATCACGAAAATTTTAAATGAAGAAATGAAGACGAAAATCAACAACAAAATTAAATAAAAGAAGAAATAATCAAGAGAGAAGAAATAAGAGAAATTGCTGGATTGACAAACACGACAGCCACACGGACACGACGACAAGAGATTATGTTAATTTGAGGAAAACTTGGTGGTTGTGATGTGTCTGTCTGTCTGTCTGTATGTCTGTCGCTTCCTGTTGGTGTAGGATGATAATAAGCTGATTAGATCTCTTTCTCTCTCTCTCTCATATCTACTTCAGGAGACGTGTGTGTGTGTGTGTGTGTAATAATAATAATAATAATTGACGGTTTATTGAAAAAGTTCTGCAGCCCGAAGGCTGAAAATATACATTGGACATAAATGACTTATTACATACATTGGTGGTTTAACAAAAGCCTTCATTAGAGAAAGGTAAAGGAACATACAGTGAACATATAGATTATTGTAGGTGTTGAACAGCAAAAACGTAGTGTAGTAACTCCCTCCC